GAACCAAAGATAATGGTATTATTTCGATTTGAGATCTCTCAACAACTTTGCCTATTAAACGCGGAATAAAACTTTGCTGAGATTCGAAAGTCATGTCAGTAAGTTTTCTTTGTTGTTCTTGTAGTTGTTCAATATTTGATTGATTATTACCAACTACGAGATATGGAACCAGTGACACGGAACCAGACTCAATTTGTTGGTCTTTAGCTCGACTTGTCGGAAGTTTACGCGTGAATTTCAAATTGGTACTGCTTTCGGCTTGGATATCGTTAATCAATTTTTCTGGAGAATTTTCATGCCATGGTTCGATTACGCTTGCTTCATTCAATGATGCTAGTCCCGGAATCATTTTATCATTCCACCCACTGTATTTGAATGAGTCATGACGAATAAAGGCTTCGTTTTGAGGTTTTACGAAACCGCTTTTATAACTTGAGGCTCTATGAAGGAGGTCAAGAGTCGATTTGCTACTATTTTCTCCAGCAACTCGAAATCCATTGAGAGAATTTCTAGTGTTTGGGTCAAGAACAGACGATGATGAAAGAAGGGGTTTATAATCCAAATGAGTGTTACTTGGAAGGGTGTAATCTTGAGTATGAACATTTACTGTTCCAGCAAAATTCGAATCCTGGGTTGAAAAACTGGAGCCGTAATTTGCGCTTAACACGGTGCTACTTTTTGTTTTTGACGATGAAAAGTTGAGATTTTTTGCTGATGCGAGTCTTGCAGTTAAATTGCGAATCTGCTCCGCCTTTTCTTTTCGTAGATCTTTTTCTTTTTCACGGACCTTGATTTCCATTTTTGCTGTTGATGGAGACCGCGAATGGGATACGTCAGCAGATATGTCACTAGTCGAGCGATCTGTTGCAGTGAAATGGTTGTGATCAACATCACTGAAAAGAAGAATTGGAAGCGTCGTTGCGTTCTGCTTGTTCCCATAATCTGCTTCTTTTTCGGACTTTTGCTGAAGGGACCCACTTCGATTTCTATTTATCGACAAAGAATATCGGGTGCTTTCTGGTATGGTGGCTGCTTTGGGGATTTGGTCTGACTCTGTTGGTGTCTGTACCCTTTTTGAGTTTGTATAGTTGACATTATCTTCTGTGCCTTCTGAGACAAGCACTTCCACAATTAATGGTATTTTAACCGTCAATTCCTCATGCAGATGATTGTCGCTGTCATTTTCCATTTTTTCAGTTGTTGGGGAATCTTGAAAATCAGCTAATCAACTTGAAAAAATCATTTTTCGCGTCTTTATTTGGAAACCAAAGAAAAGAAAAAAGCAGTCACAGAGTTAATTCTAGTTACTTTGTTCTCATGAGACGCAGAGTTTTGGCAGAGTATTTGAAATTGTCCGCGTAGACTTTCGGCTTTGAGAGACTTTCTTTAGGTAAATCAATCCAGTATTCGTATCCTTGGCGCTCGGCAAATAAAACAGCGTCTTCTTTCGTTGCGAATTTCAAAGATAGGGCCTGAACTGAGTCAGCACTATTGTGTTGGTAAATGATGAGTAATTGGTTTGTATTTTTCAGAAGGATGGGCAATTCGATTTGTCATCAGCAATAACGCGTCAAATTAGTCGCATTGTAATAAAGATTTCTCCAGGAGTCGTCACGCACCTTGAAACCCATCCAATCAACTTATTCTCCCACTTGTCCTGGGTGTCAAAATCGAGGCGCCAGTGGTTTGGCCGCGCGGAGCCAGACTGAGTGGGCGTGTTTGCGGGTCTGTAGATGCGTACGGGATGGTTGGTGACCGATGCTGGCACGCCTGAGTTTATTTGGCAGTATTTAAGTAGTATTATTTGTGCAGTCATAGATGTTTGAGTTTTGCGTTTTTCGGCGTTCACCAACCCGATTCGAGTTCAGCTTGGAACAGGCGACGCGAATCAGCTGCAGCAGCAGCAAGATGCTGGGCCGCAACTTCCGACGGCTTCGACACTAATGAACGGACCGAGCCTTGCTTTGTTGCAGAACGAATAATCCTGTGCATCTCTCTTTTTTTTCTTCTCCCAATCAATTCAAGTTCCAGTTAATATTAATATTCATGCTGTTTTCGGGATTGCCAGTTTCAACTCTGCCGATAACTGTGCGCCCACTGATTCTGCCGTTTGTAACGCTGCTTTGCTGGACTTACGCTTTCACTGGACTTTACCGTCGATCGCGCGCAACTATTGATCAATCTTTGGTTACAACTGAATCTGAAACAGGAGGGCAATCGGCATTAGTGCAGGCATTGCCACATATTTCAGACTCGCCTGACAACGTTTTTACTTTCATGTGCGTCTTTTTTTCAACACTGAAAGGAGTCCAAACCCTGTTTGGTCCAACATAACATTAAATACCCCCAGTCAAATTTCAGACGTCCATATTTCACGATATATTAAGCACGGTGGCATTGCACATTTTTCATCATTTCTATCAAACGGTGTGTTGTTGTGCAATTTTCAATTCGCACTTACTGACGAAGAAAAAAGAGCTACCAAAAATCTCTCCGGATCTTTTACTGCTCACTGGAGACTTGATCGACGCGAAATCTCCGTCGCAATTAATATCTGAGCAATATATTGACGAATGGCTCGCGTATCAGAAGCTTCTGAATGAATCTAAAATTATTGAGCGAAACAATGGCGAGTTTTTCTTTGACCAACGAGGCAAGCTTTCTTGAAATAAAGTTTGTTCCGGGAAGTACTCACGAATAAAATTTCAGGAAATCATGATTGTTTCAACGTTGGTGTTGATTTTGAGCATAGCGAATATGGCCGTATGTCAGCAACACGGCGGCAAGGATATATCCACGACCATATTAAATCGTTCGGAACATATACTTTTGCTGCCCTTGATGCATGCCCTGCTGCAGGAATGTCCCGTCCAATCAACTTTTTTGGCACCCTTGATATCACCGATATGACAAGTTTGGCTTCCATTGTTGACAACAGCACCAAAAACAACCATGCCCATACATTCATTACAACCCACTACCCCACCAGCACCACCGTTTTTGCGACCGCCGATGACGGTCGGACACTCTCTGACCTGACTCCACACGTTTCTCTTTGGCTGAACGGCCACCTCCACAGGCTCATTGGCGGCCTCACTATGCACGCGTTCCACAAGCGCACCAAGTTTCTCGAACTCGAGCTCGGTGATATGAAAGACAATGCCATGTACCGCGTCGTGGCGATCGACAACAACCTTGTTTCAATCGTGGACACGACTCTTGCAATTCCAAATATCCCAGCCCTTGTTTCCGCAGACTCTTATACAGTACACGCGCCAGATGCAAATGCGACGCGAGCGCCGTTGATTATTGTTACAAATCCGCGTGATGCGCGGTACGCGCTTGGGGCTGGTCGAGAACCTGTTGGTGCGATATTGGAGAGCTCGCATATTCGAATTTTGATTTATGCGTTTGATTCAAAGAGAGGTGCTGTTGATCCTGCGAATGTGACTGTGGTGATTGATGGGCGTGTTTATAGTGCGGATGTTGGTGGCATACAGTTTGTTGGGACAACAAAGCCTTGGAGTGATGTGCGTGCAATCAATGAAACTGATAATCATGTGCCCTTATATGTTTGTGCGTGGGAACCAAAGAAGTGGGATGATGGAAAGGATCATATTATGGAAGTTGAGGCCGTGGATGTAGATGGTACTGTTGGAAAAGTGAAGATTGTGTTTCGAGTGGATGGTAAGCGAGCCAAAGAATACGGTATGGGGAGTGGTTTAGGTGGTTGGATAATAGCAGCGAATTTTGAAGCTTTGGTTAGTTTCTATTATTATTATTTTGTCGTAGTTAACTCCAATTGATTTAAAAAATACAGTTGAAGGGACTCTTTTTATTTGCACATTTGTTTATAATGGCATTGCTCCTAATTCCTAAGATCTTTGTTGATTATATGATCATCAACGGTTCGTATAATGCATACCGTGCGGCACACACCAAGCGGCTGGATATTCTTAACAAACTGACATTTCAGCCTTCGTTACGCACAAGCTTTTCAGCATCAAATTTATTAGACAATATGGAATCAGGAACTCCTCAAAATTCTCCGCACATGCGCTTTCTTTCAAGGAGATATGAAAAAAACTCGCTCGTTGTGTTACATTTCGAACGATTGGTAACGCTGTGGACATTGAGATTCATGAATTTTGCAGGAAGTTTTGAACTCTATTTTCCATTTTACATTTATTTCCACTATCTTCTTGTTGGGCCATGGTTTGTTGGAAACCTTGTTCCAAGCGCAGTAAACGCGTCCGATCGTGTTGGTTTGTTTTATGTATACGGTATTTGGTTCAGTGGAACTGCTGGCTGGGTGCCAATCTTGGACACTTGGCAGATTGGTAACTTTTTTTATTTATATATATATATAATTTTTTTTTTTAAAATGTGTTTTGTAACGAAAAAAAAAACGCAGCACTTTGGGAACACACTTCATTTGTTTTTCCGTTAATACTCCTCCTTGCATATATGGCTCCACCACATCCGCGCGTCAAGCCACGCTTCACACCACAGACATCCAGCACCACCTGGTTGCTATCTAATCTCGTGAACTTGGTAATAAAAACTGTTGCGCAGATTGCACCGGGTGCGTTTTTCACGCTATGGCTTCTCGGGACTGTTTACTTTGGGTTTTTTGGATGGACGTACGGTTGGCTCAGTGTTTTTGTGAGTCCTGGGAAAATGTGGATGTGCGGATGGGTGGCGTGGGTTGTTGTTGGACGCAAACAGCAGTGGAATGCCAGGAAGAATGTTATTGGTGCTGAAGAAAACGAATATGGTGAGGATAATGAAGAGTACAGCAGAGAGAATGTTCGTAGTGGAAATGCCTTGCTGAGTGCAGTTAATGATGGTGTGAATAATGGAAGTGTTCGCAGGAGGTAAAACAAAATAAGCTGTAAAAAAAAAAAAGATTTTCTCTTCAGACAGAAAATATCAAACAGAAACATTCCACCCTAACAAACTCGCCGATTGAAAAATAAAATACGAAAGAAAAAACATTGTCCGACAACCCGGGTTCGAACCGGGGACCTCCTGATAACTGGTACCATTACAGTCAGATGCTCTTCCAACTGAGCTATTATCGGATATTTATAACAATGGTATTTCTATTTTGTTGTTATTTACATTTTTTCGGCCGTTCTAAACTCAATAACTCAAGAACCAAAAACAATCAAAACCTGCTTCAAGTGACATCTTATTCTTCTATATTTTCTCTATCACTTTATCAATTCTTATAC